ACGCGCTCTACCCGCTGTCCCCGCGCGACGCGCGCTTCTTCCGCCGTCTGGAGCGGCCGGCCAAGGACAGCGAGGGCAGCTCGGACAGCGACGCCGATGAGCTGGCCGCGCCCTACAGCCAGGGCCTGGACAACTGAGGCAGGGGCGCGTGCGCTGGGAGCCCCGAGGCCGCCGCTACCGTGGATCGCCTGGGCAGTGTCACCTGCCGAACTCCACGCCGCTGTGGCCCCTCGTAGAGGGCCGAGCCCGCCAGGCAGCCCAGAGGGCAGGGCCTCCGGGTCGGGCCCTCCCTCCCCAGCAGTGTTTACCCATTTTGGTCCGTACCCCTCCCGGCCCTCCTTCGAACGTTCAAGGGGTACCTGGGCCAGTTACCTGGGGGCAGGAGGCAGAGATTCCTGCCCAGGTGAGCAGGAAGCTTCCTCCTCCCCAGCAGGTTTCCCTCTGGGACAAGGATGGCCCTGCAGGGAAGGGCCCAGGAGCTAGAGGCCTGAGGAAGGAGGGACATCCCTGAGTTGGACATTAGCACCCACACAACGCCCTCGGGACACAGTGACCTTTCACCTTGGCTGCAGGGGACAGAAGGCCAGCCTGGGCTTCCCTGCCTGGTGCAGGCATCATGGCCCCTGCGGCAGAAACCAAAGTCCCCCATCCTGTGGGCAGGGCCACCCGGGGTTGTGAGTGGACAGTGGGTACCAGCTAGGGCCTGGGCGGTGTCTCCCTGCTTTGGGGAGGGGGGCAGGCAGAGAAGCTATGAAGAAGAGACCCCTCTCCCCAGAGGCCCTCATCTCCCTCTGGGATATCCATCACTGTCTTGGTCAAGGATGGAAGGCTACCCCCTCCTTGGGGATCCTTAGCCTCCAGCCACTTCCCTTCTTTTCCTTTCTGTCCCCAGCCCTGCTCTCAGACCAGGGTCAGGCCCCAGGAGTGGAACTTTCCAGCGGAGTTGCCTCCTCTGGCCTCCTTGTAGTGGTCCCGTGATCTCTGCCAAGTCATAGCTGAGAACGGTGCCAAAGTCCAACGACACCCCTCCCCCCTCAGACCTTTACCTCCCCTCCCCCCCGGGGGGCCTCAGCGGCCCTGGGGGGGTGCTGACCCTCTCGGTGCTCCTGGAGCCTCCACTAGCAGTAGCGTCACAAGCAATCTCCCTGGCGCTTCCTGGGGTGGGGACCCCTCCTCCGTCCCTCTTCCCAGTCACTCACTCTTCAGTGTTACAAAGCCTGGGGACCAGGCCGGGCACCTGAGGGGGCCCCCATGTGCCCCCAACACTGCCCACTACCATTTTTGCACACTGCCTGTTCACACTCCACATGTTGCCCAGGCGGGAAAGATGGAAAATAAAGTGTATTTACAGTCATGGATGAGGGGCACTAATTGGGCAGGCTTGGGGATTCTCAGGGCGAGGCTTCAGAGTATCACAAACAGATGGGGAGCTTCCCAGAGTCTGGTGGAATGCCAGGCAGTGGAGGAGAAAGAATATTTCCCAGTAGGGGTGAGCTAGGTCATGTGAATAGAGGTGTGCCCAGGGTATGATTGCCCCCCGGAGCCCCCCCCCCCAGACTACCTGCAGGACTGTCACCTTCATAAGACCAGCGCCCACTCCCATAGGCCTGTTGGGGTGTTCTGCCTCATGCCTTATTCCAAGCAGTCCCCAGAATACAGTGGAGATAAGCACTAGGTTTGGGGAAGGGGAGATGAGCTGCCACTAATAGGTTAAATGGCAAATAGGCAACTGTGGAGAAAAATCAAAGGCTTCCTGGAAGAGATGGTGTGAGGCTTCTATAAAGACAAAAGCAAAAAGGGCAGATATGTCACAAGTTCCTGCAGGAAATGACTGGATGCCCAAGAAGGAGAAGCAGACACTGATATGTCTACTCCAGATCAAGAGTTCCTAGTGGGGTACTGGTGGCTCATGCCTGTAATCCTAGCTACTCAGACAGCTGAGATAGGGGGATTGTGGTTCAAAGCCAGCTTGGGCAGGAAAGTCCATGAGACTTTTTTTTTGTCAGTCATGGGGCCTGAACTCTGGGCCTGGGCGCTGTCCCTCAGCTCTTCAGCTCAAGGCTAGCGTTCTACCACTTGAGCCACAGTGCCACTTCCGGCTTTTTTCTTTTTGCTGATGTGGTGCTGAGGAATTGAACCCAGGGCCTCAGGCATGCAAGGCAAGCGCTCTACCACTGAGCCACCTTCCCAGCCCCGTGAGACTCTTATCTCCAACTAACCACCAGAAAACCAGAGGTGGCACTGTGGCTCAAGTGGTAGAGCACCTTGAGCTGACGAGCTCAGGGACAGTGCCCAGACCCAGAGTATAAGGCCCATGACAAAAAAAAAAAAAAAATCAAGATTTCCTGCTTTGTGCTGGGTGTGGTGATGCACTGCTGTAATCCCAGCACTCGGGAGACTAAAATAGGAGGATCTTGAGCCAGCCTGGGCTACATAGTAAAATGTCTAAAATGTCCAAAACAAACAAACAAAAAGTAGTGGTGGATTTAGAGGAGAACACCATCAAATAGACCATAACTGGGAGTCAGTGAGGAGGCAATCAGCAAAGTAAACTGAGTCAGGCCCTGGGAACAGTTGAGTGAAGGCTCCCATGGAAGAAGAGTTCCCAAAGAGGCAGAGTCCTTTGTGGGGGTCCCCATGGAGCTGAAGCTGAATCTAGAGTGGAGAACAGAGCCAGGGATGGTACAAAAAGGCTGCTTTGAGGGAGAAACTTGATTGGCTCCAGGTAGATTGTAAGCTGTCCCTGCCTTCTATACCAATGTGTCTGTTGGTGAGCAGCCAGGTCCCACTTAGTGGCTCACCAAGTTGATGGCTCCTGGGACCACACACCGCCCCCCAATACCCAGATTTAACATGGAGAGCCAACATTGTGCCTCTCCTGTTCCCATCCCAGCTGGCTCACTACACTGAGTTTCTGTCGTACCCCTTTGTGGGGGCTGCCTAGCATGTCAGGTGCCAGCCCCTTTCCTTGGGCTTAGAGTCTGAGAACATGGAAGCCTAGTCCTCATTAGAGCCCATCTGGAGAGGAAATCTCTGTGATTTGCCACAAATCCACATTTGAGTGAGGAAGTATGCTGTCCTCCTCCTCTAACTCCCATCTGGCTTCCCACAATTGATGTCCCTTTGATACAGAACCCCATTTTTCTTTGGACCTCAGAGGGGTGTGACTGTGTTTCAGGGTGGAAATGCACACAACTAGGGGTGGAGGGAGGCTCTGTGCTAACAAGAATCCTCACCAGCTCCTGGTGAGGATAAGACTTGGGTTCAAGGCCATGGTTCAAGGCCAGCCCAGGGAGAAAAGTCCATGAGATTCTACTTTGAAAATAAGGCAATGTTGGGGCTGGGAAGGTGGCTCAGAGGTAGAGAGCTTACCTGGCATGCATGAGGCCCTGGGTTCAATTCCTTATCACCACATAAGCAGTAGGGCAGCTCTGGCTCAAGTGGTAGAGCGCTAGCCTTGAGCTGAAGAGCTGAGGTACAGTGCCCAGGCCCAGAGTTCGGGCTCCACGACTAGCAAAACAAAAAAGCAATGTTGGAAGCTTGATTCAAGTGCTAGAGTACCAGCTGAACAAGTACCACATCCTAAATTCAAGCCTTAGCATTAATAGTAGTAGTAATAATAATTTAAAAAAAAAAAACTGGTAAGGCCAGGCCCTGGTGGCTCATGCCTGTAATCTAGCTGAGATCTGAGGATCAGGGTGTGAAACCAGCCTAGGCAAACAAATTCAAGACACTCATCTCCAATTAACCACACACACACACACACACACTGGAAGTGGAGCTGTGGTAGAATGCTAGCCTTGATCCAAAAAAGCATAAGGGAAAACACTCAGAGCTGGCAAAAATTAAACAAACAAATAAATAAGGAAATGGGTCCAAAGGCAGAAACAGATCTGAAAAGCCCACACTAGTCCCTTTTCTGTCCTTTCCCCCATCTGGAGATGCCTCTCTCATTCCTGATGTTAGGAATTCTTGAGTTTCTTTGGAAAAGAAAGATCTAGGGAACCACCTCCTTCATAGGGCCTGAGTAGAATAAGGTCTGAGCTAGGACTTGAGGGACTCCAGGGTTAAGGTGGCTTGGCTGGCGGCAGGGTAAGGAGGATGTCAGGGATGTCAGGGCAGTAGGAGGTAGGACAGTGCCTATGGAGGCGGGATGCATCAAGGATAGGGTGTCCTGGAACTGGGAGAGGCCACTTCTTCCCTGCAGGCTCCAAGCAGGTCAAGCCACCCTACCCCCACACCTGTGGAGGGCACTTCTACAGAGCCCCTGGGGACAGGCTGCTAGCCTGGGAACACTGGGTAAACAGGAGAGGAAAAGGAAACAGCGAAACCAGATGATGCTGGGGACCCCTCCGTGGATCTACCAGGAGGTCACCTTAGGTAAGGGGGTGCACCCAGGGGCAGAGTCTGTGAAAAGGGATCCACCCTCCATACCAGTCAGGCCAAACCATTCCACCAGCTCTTGAATGTGGGAAGAGCTTCGAGGGCTCCCCACCTCGATCATTCAGGCCCCTCCTGAGTCTAAAGTTTGCATCAGAAGTGGTACCTGGCCAGGTGTCAGTGACTCACACCTGTAATCCTAGCTATCCAGAAGACTGAGATCTTCGGATTTTGCAGTTCGAAGCCAGCCCAGGCAGGAAAGTCCATGAGACTCCTATCTCCAATTAACCACAACAAGCTGGAAGTTGAGCTGTGGCTAAAATAGAGTGCTGTTCTAGAAGTACAGCGTCCAGGCCCAGAGATCAACCCCTAAGACTGGGGGGGGGGGGGGGGAGTAGAATCCGAAGAAGTACATGATTTTGCACTCAACCAGAAAGTTGAGAACTGGTAGGTCCTGGACCCAGACCCGCCTCACCTGCCCCTTTCTTTTTCATAGGAGAAAAGCTACAAGGTTTCGCCAGTCCTCCAACCCTTGGTCGACCCCCAGGTCCCGACCCCCGGGGCGACAGCGAGGATGCGCAGGCTCCAGTGTCCTGGTTTTATTGCAAATGGGGCAGCGCTGGGTTTACAATGTACTGAACTTGGGATTCCGGTGGGAGCAGGGAAGGATTCCAGCGGGGGCAGGGGTGTGGTCCTGGCTAAGGGGCGGGGCTTGGCCGGAGGGTCCGCGAGGATCAGCTAAAGGCAGGGGTGAAACTTGGGTCCAAAGACTAGATAGGACTCTAGGGAATCAAAAATCAACCCAAGGAAAGGGGGGCGGGGGAACCCTAAAAGTGGGAAAGGGTACCTAAGACAAAAGCGTAACGGAGGGGCGAATCCTAAACCAGGTGTGGGCATGGAGGGTGAGCGGGCATGGCGTCTGGCTCAATGGAAAGTCTCCACCTCCACCACAGTCCAGTCACCCTGTGGAGAGGCCACATCGTCTGGGGAGAAACTGGTGACCGATGTGATGCTGGCACGCGACTCATCCAAGGGAGACAGCAGTTCGGCCCAGCGGCCCAGTTCGGCGTCGCTGAGCGGAGTACGGGTGGCCCCGGAGACGCCACCACCCCCTGTACCCACTGGACCCCCACCGCTGGCTCCCGCCGCACCCTCGGCCGCGGCGAGTAGCAGCGTCCGGCTCAACAGGTGCTGCACGACGCTAGCCTGCAGCGCTCCCAGCGGCAGCTCGCCCAGGCGCGCCGACTTTGGGCTCCGCGAGGACGCCCCGAGCCCCGCCCCACTCGCCCCTTTCCCATCCCCCGCGCAGGACCCAGGTCCCGGATCCAGTGAGCCTGGGGTCGGGGTCGCCGGCTCGGGTCCTTCAGCCTCGTAGATGGTGCACAAGCCGTCTCCTGAGCCCGGGCCGGCAGCAGGAGGCCAAGGCAGAGGAACACCTGCAAATACAGACGCTGAGCAGAAGGGGTGGGAAGCGCCACCTCTCCGCGAGACCACGCCCTTTGCACTTGCTTTGCCCCGCGACGACCACGCCCCCTTCGCCGGCCCCAACCCAGCCGCGAGACACGGCCCTTTCCATTGGCCGCACCTCACCACAAAACCCTGCCCTAACCATCCGCCACGCCCTCCTCGAGACCCCGCCCTTTGCACCTGCCCCAACCCCGAGACCACGCCCTCTTTACCAGCCCCACCCTCCCCGCGCGACTCCTCCCTTTCCGTCTGTCACACCCCACCGCGAAGCCCCGCCCCCATGCATCGCTGCCGGGTCCCCAGACCCGCCCGGAGTCCCTCTCACCTGGAGCGCCGCAGACAGCCAGCGGCGGAGCAGGCCCTCGGCTCCAGGCCGCCGGATGGCAGGCGGCGAGCTCCGCGTCGGCGGGCGGGGAGGCTGCAGCGCCGCCCTCGGGCCCGCTATCGTAGCCACGCAGCTCCTCTGGCGTGCTGGTGGCGCTGCTGCTGTGGCCGGCCAAGTCCGGGCCGCTCAGCGTACTGGATGGGCTGCGAGAAGGTGGTGGTGGTGGGGCCGGGGCCAGCGCTAGGGTCAGCCGTGGACCCGAGATGGAGGCATCTGGACCTGGGGTCGGGGGTCGGCATGGGGCCTGCAGTGGGGGCGACGCTGGGGGAGAGGAAGGAGGCTGAACAAGGGGCGAGCCTAGGCGAGGCAGGACCTGCGGAGGGGGCGTGGTCGCGGAAGAGGGCGGGGCCTGTGGAGGGGGCGAAGCCAGAAGCCTGGCCTCCTCTGGGGGCACTGTTGTCTTCTGAGGAGAAGCCTGCAGAGAGGGCAAGGCCAGAATAGGTGGAGCTTCTTGAGGGGGCATGACCAGGGGAGAGAGAGGCCGTGAGATCAAAGATGAGGCCTCTGGAGGTGGTGTGGCCACAGGAGAGTGAGAGATCAAAGATGGGACCTCTGGAGGGGACGAGGCCAGGGGAGAATGAGGAAGTGAAGCCAAAGATGGGGCTTCTGGAGGGAGTATGGTCAGGGGAGAGTGAGGGAGTGAGACCAGAGAAGGTAGGGCCTCTGGATGGAGCGTGGCCAGAGGAGAGAGAGGGGGTGAGGCCAAAGAAGGCGGGGCCTCTGGAGGGGGCGTGGTCAGAGGAGAGCGAGGGGGTGAGGCCAAAGAAAGCGGAGCCTGCGGAGGGGACGTAGCCAACGGGGTCCGAATAGGCGAGGCTAAGAGAGAAAGAGGTACCTGCAGAGGAGGTGAGGCAGGAGGAGAGAGAAAAGCCTGAAGAGGAGGTGAGGCAGGTGGAGAAGGAAGGGCCTTAGGATATGTAGCTGAGAGAGAAGGGATTTGTAAAGGAGGCGAAGTCAGAGAAGGCTGGGCTTGCAAAGGTGTAGGCAAGAAAGAAGGCGTGGTCTGCAGTGGGGGTAAGCCCAAAGGAGGTGGGGCCTGCAGAGGCAGTGAGGCCAGTAAGGGTGGCAGAGTCGGGAGACAGGTATCAGCCTGTAAAGGGGGCAAGGTCAGAGAAGATGGGGCCCCCGGAGTAGGCGTGACCAGGGCAGGGGGAGGAGCCTGACGAGGGGGCGAGGCTGGAGGAGAGGAAGAAACTAGTGGATCCTGCAGCGTGGAGTTGGCCAAAAGAGGAGAGTCTTGGGAAGGAGATGTAATCAGGTTAGAGGGTGTGGCCTGTGGGGGCGGAGCCTGGGAAGGACTGGCCTGTGATGGGGACGTGATCACAGAGAAAAGGGCTGGTGGGGTGGGCGTGACAAGGGGAGAAGACAGATTCTTTGGAGAGACTGGCGGAGAGAGAGAGGCGGCGTCTAGAGGTAAAGGAGCAGGCTGAGATGTGGATAAGGAAGTCGGAAGTGATGGCAAACCCAGAGGAGCCTGGATGGGAAGCATATTCTGTGCAGGAGATGAACCTGATGGAGAAAATGCCGTCGTTGTGGGCCGGGGAGAGACTCTTTCTACCTCCGGAAAGGGCGGGGCTTGCGAAGGAGGCGTGGCCGGTGGAGAGGGGAGGGTCTCTAGGCAGAGCGGAGTGGAAGGGGCTACTGGAAATGTGATGGCCAATGGACAGGCTTGGTTCTGTGAGTGGGGCGTGGCCTGAGGGGAGGGCGGGTCTTGAGGATGCAGGGTTGCAGGCGGAGGGGGCGTGGTTGGTGGAGAGGGAGGGAGGGTAGTCTGGGGAGGAGCCCTTGAGCGGCGGGGAGGTGGTGTCTGCTGGGCGGCCGCGCTAGGTGGAGAGGGCTTGGCCAAAGACAAAGCTGAAAGCTGGCCTGGCACTGAAACTGCGTTCTTCCTGGGGACTGTGGTCTGAGGGGGGCGCAGAGCCGACTGCCCTTTGGCCTTGGGCTGTGACATCAGCGCAGGAGCCCGGGATGGTCCACGGGATGAGGCCCCAGACCGAGCGGGGGATGACAGAGGGGTAGCACCGGAGCCCGAGGGACGAGAGGCCGGCTTTTGGAGGCCACCACCAGCGCTGGGCCGCCTCCTGGCAGCTGGACTAGGCTCTGGGGCATTTTGGTCTCCAGTAGTCACTGATTTCTTGGGCGTCTCGGTCAAGGGTCGTGGCCGGGCATTCGCAGCTGGTCGAGGGAGTCCCGCTTCTGCCACCGCTGTCCGGGAGCGACGGCCCATGGCCGGTGAGGGGGCCCCTGAAGTGGGCCCTGAAGAGTCTGGAGACAAAGCAGAGGCCCAAAAGGGACACGGATACCTCCAGGCTGGACCCACCGGGGCCTAGGAAACCCTTCACCCCAAAGTTACCTACCTTTTCGTGTCCCGGAGTTCAGAGCAGCCCTTTTGGGTGTCTCTGGGGCTTTTCCTCTGGCCACAGGTTCCTCAGCTGAGGGACGGGGTCCTTTCTGAGCAACAGGGCCTGGTCTGGGGACAGGAGGAACCAGATCTTTTTTTTTCTTTGTCGGTCATGGGGCTTGAACTCTGGGCTTGGGCGCTATCCCTCAGCTCTTCAGCTCAAGGCTAGCGCTCTACCACTTGAGTCACAGCACCACTTCCGGTTTTCTGGTGGTTTATTGGAGATAAGAGTTTCACAGACTTTCCTGCCCGGTCTGGCTTTGAACCATGATCCTCAGCTCTCAGCCTCCTGAGTAGCTAGGATTACAGGTGTGAGCCACTGGTGCCTAGCGGGACAAGATCTTTTTGAACTTCCCAAATGTACACCTTCCCATCTATGAAATGGAGAATATACACTTCTCTGCAAACCAATGACTTTCAATTTGACACAGGATCCACAAGTGCTGCCCAGCCCTTGTGCGTAATATTAAAAGGTTTCGTATAGTGGTACTAAAAGGGAGGGTTGGAGGTGTGGCTGAAGTGGTAGCCATGAACAACAACCCAAGCAAATGCTAGCAACAGCAAAAATATAATAAGAAAATTAAAAAAGAGAGAAAAAAACAGATAGTGACACTAACGCTTGCTTTAGGGACTGAGAAGGGGCATGTTACCTGGTGGTCCCGCTAGCTCGTCCTGGGGTAGAGACAGAAGAACCCTGGCTGGGTGTCTTGGCAGGGGTCCTCTCTCCTCTCCCAGCAGCTGAGGGTCTGGAAGCTTCAGAGAAAAGAGTCAATGTTGTCCGAAAAAAAAAAGGGGGTTCGGAAAAGGAAGGAAGGAGGTAGGGGAAGAACATGGGGTCAGAAGAGACGCCAGGTACCTGGACTTCGAGGACCTGCCACAGTGCTTCGAGTTGGTCCCACGCGGGCAGCAGCCTCCGGAACAGGGGCTCCACCGACGCCTCCAGATCGCTCTGCCAGGGGCTTTCGCCCCATGACTCCCGCTGCTCCCAGAACCCGAAGGGCTGCGGCGGTTACTGGGGGAGGGGGCCGAGGGGACCCCGGAGGCCTAGGGGTGGGAAGGCCAGGGGGACGAGAAGCTGGTGTCCTCGAGGCGGGCCCTACCTTGGCCTTATCCCTCTTGTCCATTCCGCACCTGATGGGCAGACAGAGGAATCAGCACCCCAGGTTCTGGATCGCTACACCGCTGCTGCTGGAGATCTTGGCTCCTGGTACCGTACTGGTCCTTTTCCAGGCATCCCGCCACTCATGGATGCCCATAACTGAGCCTTGGCTAGCTGGATCCGCTTTTCTCCCCCATCCACCCACACCTGCGTACCAGCCCGGCTGCTCAGCCTTGTCCCCAAGTCCCACCCCCACCGCCATCCCCCAAAGCTGAGATGCCTTGTTTGTCCCCCTCCCTCGGTCCTTTCCAGGAACAACATCACGCCCCTACCCCCTCGCCCCTCAGGGACCTTGGACGACCAGCCTCCTCTGTCTGGCTTCCGATGCTGGGGACAGGAGCGCACGCCGGAGTATCTTCGCCACCCCCACCCAGGTTCCTGCTCCAGCCTCCCCGAGGGATGCCAGCACCTGCCAGGAGGAAGAGTCGGCCCCGCTGCCCGCGAACGGGCTCCGGGAGACAAAGAGCCAGGATCCGGGCCCGACCCCTCCCCCAGCCCGGCCGCGGCCCCGGCCTCAGCCCCAGCCCGGGCCCGCCACCTCCACCTGCTGGCCCCGCGCGGCTCACCTCCGGCTCCGGCCTCGCGCCGCTCCACGCACGCACGGTCGCCTGGGGTGGGGCTCTGCCCGAGCGCCGCGGCGGCGGGAAGGCGAGGGGAGTGGGCTGCGGGCGGCGGCGCTGGGGGTGCCCGGCGGGCCCCGCCCCTCCGCCGCGGGCGGGGGAGCCCGGGACGCGCGCGCGCGCTCGGCGGGGACCCGGGAGCGCGCCAATGGGTGGGGGGGCCTCGCGCGTCGGAGCAAGGGGCGGCCTCGCCGAGATCCGGAGGAGGCAGGTTTCCACAGACGTGTCCGACGCCCCAAAAGCCAAGAAACGGGGCTTGGCGGGGAAACACTCCCCCGAGGACCCTCACACCTCCCTAAACGCAAGCTCACGCACCTGCTCCGACCCCCACCCTAACTACTCAGAGACCAAGGCCCGCCTGGACGCGGATAGGCTGTGTCCTGGCAACCAGGGGGCGGGACCACCGCGCCTCTGGCCCACCGACCAATCCAGACGCTCCGTGCCCCTAATCCCAGTCCTGGCCTTCTCCACCAAGGAGGCCAGCAACACTGGTTTGGAGACCTGAGTTGGGAGGAGTCCATCTCTTTCAAACATCCCATTTCCCAAGGAAATCTCTTACCTGGAACGGGATAGGGGCTAGAGCTTCTGGGGAAATGCACCCCTAGCCTGGGGATTTAGGGAATGAGAGGCTGATTCGAGATTGGAGGGGGAGGGGAGGAGAGGAAAAAAATCAGTACATGGAGAGGGGACACAACCTTCTGCAGAACAGAAAGATCCATCGAGTTTACAAGAGGTCCAGGCAGCAAAGAGTTGGTGGGGTAGCTGGGTTGTGGGGGATTAGATTATGAGGGTTTGGGATGTCAAAACAAATGCTTGAAGAAACAATTCGAATATCCTATTTTAGGGTATCAGCCCAGCTTGAACAAGTGAGGTGTGTCACTTTTCTGACTTTGTCTGCCAGCACATAGGAATCTCATGGTAGAACCTTACAGAGGACCCTACCCTTTAGAGGTTGTTACACCAAAACATCTATTAACACCAAGACCCTCCTTCCCCACACCCCATTGTGGCCCTTCACAGTGAGGAATTCAGTTCTAGGTTCACAGCCACTGTTTCCTTTTTAAAATTTGATTTGTGTATATATGAATGTGTGTGTGTGTGTGTGTGTGTGTGTGTGTGTGTGTGTGTGTGTTAGTAAGGAACTTGAACTCAGCACTTGGACTCTTTCCTTAGCTTTTTCCCTTAAGGCTGGCACTCTACCACTTAAACAGTGGTTCCACTTGCAGTTTTTTGTTTTTGTTTTTTAACAGTTTAATTGGACATAAGAGTCTCAGGGACTTTATTTCCTGAGCTGGATTAAAACCTGAACTTCAACCATCAAATCTCAGCCTCCTGAGTAGCTAGGATTACAGGTGTGAACCACCAAGACGCAGCTCAGCTGCTCCTTTGGAGGGCACCATGCAAGTCTGAGCAGGTCTTTGAAAGCAAGAAGGACTCAAAAGCCACGTGAATTGGACAAAGGCCTCAATCACCAAGAATTCCTGCAGATAAGCTGATCTTATCAGCCTCAAGATGCCACACAAGTTACTGGGGTTTGTTTTGCTTCTAGGCAAGTAGCAATCAGCTAGCCTTGGCATCAGGGACCCTATGAAGGGTGACAGTCCTAGTCAGAGCTATCTCCAAAGCCCTGTGGCCTATTCTAAGTATGTAGCTGAGCATGCTTTCTTTTTGGTGCTGATCCTAGGGCTTGAACTCAGGGCCTGTGCTCTGACTTTGAGCTTCTTTTTGCTCAAGGCTGCACTCTACCACTAGAGCCACAGCACCACTTGCAGGGTTTTGGGGGGTTTTTTGTTTGTTTTTGTTTTTGGTGACTCATTGGAGATAAGAGTCTCACAGACTTTCCTGCCCAAGCTGGCTTTGAAATAATCCTCAGATCTCAGCCTCCAGAGTAGTTGGGGTTATAGGCATGTGCCATAGGCTCCTGGCTTGTAGCTGAGATAGATCTCTAAGGAGATCAAAGACTTCTTTATCTGGAATTACCAGTCCCTGTTGGTAGCTAATTGTGTTCAAGTGTTACTGTAAAACATTTAGAGGCCCCGGTGCCAGTGCTGGCTACAATAAAACCTACAGGACAGCCTATCACTAGGATCAGGGTTCACCTTTGCAATACATGTTGTGGTATTTTAAGATTTCAAGTAATAAATAAATGGATTGAGTCATTGCAGGTACTAGCCATGAAAAGGACCAAGTCCTGAGACAGATCCCCTACAATTTCCAAGAACAAGGTGAAGCCAGGTACCAATGGGTCGTGACTGTAATCCTAGCTACTCAAGAGGCTGAGATCTGAGGATCATGATTTGAAGCCAGACTGGATAAAGAAATCTGTAAGACTCTTATATCCAGTTAACCAAAAAAATAAAAAGGCTTGAGGTAGAGATGTGACTAAAGTGATAAAACTCTATTCTTGAGCAAGAAAGCTAAAGAAAATACAAGGTTCTGAGTCCAAGCCCTAGAACCAGCACACACACACACACACACACACACACACACACACACACAGGAAAAGACAGAAGGAAGGAAGGTAAAGGAAGGAAGGAAGGAAGGAAGGAGGGAAGGAAGAAAGGAAAGAAAGAAAGAGAAAGAAGTGGTAGATGCTAGGGGATGGGGCAAAAAAATGAGGAGTTAGCTTTGAAAGCGAGTTAGCATTTTTTAAAAATGATTGAAAAAAACATTCTGGAGATGCACAATGGTGATGGTAGCACAACACGGTATGTGCTCCTAATGATGTCACTGGTGTTCAAACTGCTTTTTACTGAAAAAGTCCAACTAAAAACGGGAGATAAGAGCCTGGTGTGTATGTGGCAGGGGGCGGCTCATGCCTATAATCCTAGCTACTTAGGAGGCTGAGATATCTGAGGATCATGGTTTGAAACCATCTCAAGCAGGAAAGTCTGTGAGACTCTTATCTCCAAGTAAGTACCAAAAAGCCAGAAGTGGAACTGTGGCTCAAGTAATAAAGCTCAGGGACAACACCCATGCCCTGAGTTCAAGCCCTAACACAAGCACAAACACACATGCACACATGAAAAGAGATAGAAAGAGAAAGAGAGAGAGAGAAGGAAGGAAGGAAGGAAGGAAGAAGAAAGAAAGAGACAGGAGATAAGCTTTAGGACCCAACCTTTACTCTTCATTTCTCTCTCTTTTCCTCTGAACCATTCTCTCCTGCAGATACTTCAGAGCCATCTTAGAATGCAGGAAGGAGTAGACAGGACACAGGGCCAGGTGTCAATGACTCTGTGTATGTGTGTGTGTGTGTGTGTGTGTGCCAGTACTGAGGCTTTCTAAGTTTTTTCACTCAAGACTGGTGCTCTACCACTTAAGCCACAGCTCTACTTCCAGCTTTATGGAAGTTAGAAATAAAATTATCGGGGCTGGGAAGGTAGCTCAGCGGTAGAGTGCTTGCCTTGCAAGCATGAGGCCCTGGGTTCGATTCCTCAGCACCACATAAACAGAAAAAGCCGGAAGTGGGCTGGGAAGGTGGCTCAGTGGTAGAGCACTTGCCTTGCATGCTCGAGGCCCTGGGTTCGATTCCTCAGCACCACATAAGAAAAAAGCCAGAAGTGGCGCTGTGGCTCAAGTGGTAGAGTGCTAGCCTTGAGCTGAAGAGCTGAGGGACAGCACCCAGGCCCAGAGTTCAGGCCCCACGACTGGACCGAAAAAAAAAAAAGAAAAAGCCGGAAGTGGCGCTGTGGCTCCAGTAGTAGAGCGCTAGCCTTGAGGGGAAGACCTGAGGGACAGCGCCCAGACCCAGAGTTCAGGCCCCATGACCAGCAAAAAAAAAAGAAAGAAAAAAGAAAAGAAATAAAATTATCATGGATTTTTTTTTCTGCCCAAAGCTGGCTTTGAATCTAATCTTCCTGAATAGTGAGGATGTCAGTTGGGAGCCATCAGTGCCTGGCCTCATGTGACCAGTCCTGAGACAATGGGCTGTCAGACCCACTGCTGTCACCCCTGACCATCTGAACAGACCTGGAGCTGGGACTACTTAATTACACATACTCCGCTCCCTCCACCCCCCAGTTTTTCTGTCTATTTAAACCTATGCTCATGTTTGTATCCCCAAAATGGCCGAAGATGAACTGAACTGCCTCCTTCCCCTTGACTCTCAGTGCCATGCCCTAAACCTCCTTTATCTGAAGTTCACTGTGTCTCTCTATTTGACCCATAGGGGTGAGTCACCAGACCTGATACATGGGTCTGGGACCTAAAACCTATAGTTTTGATGAACACTGGGCTGTATACTTAAAAGTAGTTAAGATCAGCTGAGCATCAGTGGCTCATACCTATAATCTGAGATACTCAGGAGGCTGAGTTCCAAAAAACCTAAATTCAGGCCAGTCCAGAC